ACTACAACATGCAGGATGGTGTTCCTCAAGGGCCAGGGTTGGGAACCCTTCTGTTAAAGGAACCGTTTGTGTTTTTATTTGTCTGGACTCTGTTGAACAATGAAACTGCTGATTTCATGCAGCGCTGCTGTTATCAAAAAAAACATTAGTGAATAAAACGCTCCGATTAAACTTCAGGTTCGTTTGTCTGGACTGGCTGAGTGTTTTTAGTTGTGGTAGTTTTTGGACTTGATCCCCGACCAGGATCCATCCCAGCTGTTTTTTATTTGGCCAGTTCAACAAGTTCACCATTATTGGGCTGTTTCCAGCATGTTCAGTCTGGATCTTTAATAAAGTAACGTTAACTCTTGGTGTAACTGCGGTTCTCCTCTCAGAGCCAGCTGAGATGAGCGGTCCAGAGGTCGCCAACACACCGGGAGGCGGAGCTCCAGGAAAGGAAGGGAAAGATCCCGTGGCCAATGGGCACGCAGGAGAGAGCCCCGACGCTAACCCGTTTGCCGAGTACATGTGGATGGAGAACGAGGAGGAGTACAACAGACAGGTGCGTTCACATAAACACTTTAACGTGGGGTCGACCCGCTCGGTTCTTCGGACCTACTGGTCGAACCGAGCCGATGATTTAACGTCAGCCGACCGCGGGCCGTTTTCTTGAGCCACACGGACTTGTTTTGCTCCGAGCCTGTATGACTAACCACAGACGGAGCACCGGGCATGCCATGACCTCCATGGTTGGGCGTCGCCCTAATGTGACATCACTCAGGCACTCGGTTGATGGAAAATCACCGAGACATGTAGGGTTGAACATGTAGACGACTAATGAACGGACTTCATGATGCCACCACGCCATTTAAAAAAACAAAGACAAAGCCCATAGAGACGCGTTTAGCAGCAGTAATTTGTGGACATTTGTCTCCGCCCTGCTGCTCAAGTCTTAGCGTTTGGGTGTGGCCTTTTGACGGGACCTTGGTTCTTCTTCAGCAGTTCTGTTGATCATCTGCTGCCGTGTTTGGGATCGTTGTCCCGTGCGGGTGCTGCTCCAGCTGTCGGACGGACGGCCTCACTTTTCAGTCTAGAACGCTTCGGCTAACTGAGGCGTTCACGGTCAACTCTGTAACAGTCGGGCGCTCTGGTTCTGGCTGCAAATCATCAGCCCTCCACCACCGTGCTCGACAGTTACTGAGGTATTTTACCTGATGAGCCGTTTGGTTTTCCCCCAACATGATGCCGTGATCATCATAATCAAACGTTTGTTCGTCTCATCCGTCCAAACGGCATCGTCCCAAAAGTCTTCATTAGTCTGAGCTTTAAAACCCGAAGTCGTGTTTTTATTTAATTTTTTCTGACGAGACAAACTTCTGTCATGACCTTTAACTCGCTAACTGAAGACTGTGGAGATGGAGGTCTACACCGTAAAATGTTCTCACCAAAACGATGTTCGTGCATAAACGAGACGTTCAAATGCAGCAGAAGAGGGTTGTTTGTTTTGCTGAGATGTTTCGTCCTTATCCTCCTTGAGAAGGTGGCTTCTCGGATTGATGAAGGACGAAACGTCTCAACAAAAAAAGAAGCCGTCCAGATGACCTGACTGAACATTGTTTTTATTTCTCTCAGGTGGAGGAGGAGCTGCTGGAGCAGGACTTCTTGGAGCGCTGCTTCCAGGAAATGCTGGAGGAGGAGGACCAGGACTGGTTCATCCCGTCACGTGACCTCAACCAGGGAGTGGGGCAGCTGCAGCAGCAGCTCAACGGGCTGTCGGTCAACGATCACCACAGTAACGTGGAGGAGGTGGCGGTAAGTCACTCTCCCTTTTAACCCGTCAACAATCTGTGTTGTAATAAGGGACTTCAAGTTTTTATAACTTGTGTGGTTTTAAATTGTTTTACTTTGTTTACTAAATATTAAATAAAAAATAAATTTAGCTTGCAAATATAGTTCTGCTACAACTAGCTTTTAGCTACAGTTTTCTATGTTTACCTTTATTTATTTATTTTTTGACTAAAGGTCTGCGTTTACCTTTTGACCACAACTTTGCCAATGTTTACTTTTTTAGCTACGGCTTTGCCAGTTTTTAGCCTTTAGCTGCAGTGTAGCTAATTTTTAGCCTTTAGCTGCAGTGTAG